ACAAAGATGAATCAGATATGATTTGTGCCCTCAAAATGCTAGTGATAAAATATGTATAAGTTGGGGCGCCTGGGTGGCTCAGTCATTAAGCGTCTGCCTTCGGCTCAGGTCATGATCCCAGGGTCCTGGGATCGAGCCCCACATCGGGCTCCCTGCTCCGCAGGGAAGCCTGCTTCTCCCTCTCCCACTCCCCCTGCTTGTATTTCCTCTCTCACTGTGTCTCTCTGTCAAATAAATAAAATCTTTAAAAAAAAAAACTGTGTAAGTTATGTGCCACAAAAATACTATAAGGTTTTAGACAAAATAACATCTGTGCTGCATCTGAAAATATAGATAAAATTTAGAGGGTTCTCAATACAGTGTGGGGGGTGTGGGTAAAGAAAGTTTTCTAGGCTCAGGGAAGAGCTTCTGCAAAGGCTTAGAGTCAGGGCAATTCAAGTACTATCAGGCAATCATCAGAAGGTTCACTTTGGCCTGAGTGTTGAATACATTTAGGAAAAGATTGACTGTAAAGTTGTAATGGTAGATTGGGACCAGAGCAGGGGGCCATTAGGATTAAGGCATTTGTTATATAATGAACACTTTGGTATTTTACAGGCAATGAGGGGCAGTGAAAGTTTTTTAATCAGAAGAAAAACTTGATCACAGGCAAGTTAACCTGGTAGTCACTATAAAAATGGATTGGAGCATGGAAAGATGAGAAGATTTGGGAGAAGTCTGTTGAGAGCTAGAACATGGCCAGTGGCAGGAGATACTGAGTGGAGAACAGATTTTAAAAGATATCAGAGAGAAAGTTGACAACATGGAGCCCTTAAGGGGCAGTAGATGCTTCAATCAAGTGTGATTTTGCATAATCCCTTTAACAACCAATCAGTATTTTTCCATAAGAATATCATGACATGTGGGTGGTCAGATGTCTTGTTGAAATCAAGATGTGTTTTGCTTTTCCATTTTCCTTGACTTATGTTGATATACGTATTCTTAGCAAACATGGGCTTCTGCCTTGTCATGACGACTGGCTTTCCTACACATTTGCAACCCTCTTCGTGGTAAAAACAACCCACATTATATAAATTTATTCTTAACAATTTTAAGTGAACAGTAAAATATTGTTAACTATATGTATGTTATTGTATAACGGATCTCTAGAAATTTTTCATCTTGTATAAACTTCATACTCATTGAACCACAACTCCATCTCCTTCTCCCATAGCCCCTGGCAACCACCATTCCTCTTTCTGTTTCTATGAGTTTGATTAGATACCTCAGATTAGTGGAATCATGCATTATTTGTCTTTTTGTGATTGGCTTATTTAATTTAACATAATGTCCTCAAGGTTCATTCATGTTGTGGCATATGACAGAACCTCCTTTTTTAGGGCTGAATAATATTCCATCATATATATATATATATCCACCACATTTTCTTTATCCATTTATCTGTTGATGCACATTTAGGTTGCTTCCACATCTTGGCTTCCACATTCACAACACTATTGTGAATAGTGTTGCAATGAACATGGGTGTACAAATATTTCCTCAAGATCCTATTTTCAATTCTTCTGATATACATCTGAAAGTAGGATTGCTGGATCACATTGTAGTTCTATTTTTAATTTTTTTGAGGAATCTCAATACCATTTTCCATAGCAGCTGCACCATTTTATAATTCCACAAATAGTTACCACCCTCCTATGAAAAAAAGTCCATTTCAGAATGCTTCTGATGGCAAAAATTAAGTTCATGGGTGAGTGATTTCTGAAATCATGAGACGATGATAGCATGTGATCCTTATCCAGGGCTGGTCTTCTAACCAACATACTAGGAGCTCAATAAATAATTGTTAAATGAAAAGTTGAACAACTCTAGACTTTTGCTGTCTTTTCTCAATCTCTTGCTTCACAAACATATACAAATGGTCTAGGATTTCATGGAACCAGATTGATGTTCAGAGATCAGAGAGCTTGAAGATCATTTGGCATAGCTCCATAATTTGATGGGTGAAGTTATATGGTTTCCCCCCCCCCAAAGCTGGGCCAGGTGACTTGAATTTATTTAAGGAAACAGCAATTCCTTTTTTTTTTTTTAACTTACCCTCAGATTTCAATTCTCAGCTATATAGGCTCTTTTCAGCCTGAAAATAATTGTTCCTGTTTTCAAATGTGAAAGCAAAATAGAAATAGAGTTTAGGTAGTTGTTTATCTCAATGAGATTGATCTTTTAAGGGGATAACTTTGGGAGATTAAACAACTAGGCACTTCCTACCTCTTTCCGGACCAACTTAGGAACTTTTGAAAGAAGTTATTAGAGTCATCATCAATGTAATCACCAAACAAATTAATCAGATTTGACTCTTAAAAACTTAAATATTTAAAAATTAAGCCCACTCTGAACGGACAAAGATTTATCACTATTGGGAATATTTACTTACTAAGTAATAATGTCCAAGAAGACATGTACTGTGGTATTTAAAAAGTATGCTATAAATTCTGAAGCCAACAGGAATAGGTGTTTAAAAAAGGGGGGGGGGGGAGAGGAGCATCTGGGTGGCTCAGTCAGTTAAGTGGCCAACTCTTGATTTTGGCTCAGGCCATGATCTTGGGTGTCCTGGGATCAAGCCCCATGTCAGGCTCCATGCTCAGTGGGGAGTCTACTTGAGGATTCTCTCTTCCTCTCCCTCTGCCTCTCCCCCTCCTCAAATAAATATTTAAGGAAAAAAGAGAGAAGTTTAAAGGCAGAAAGGATTATATAGTAGAAAGGGCAACAAACAAATCGGAACACATGAATTCTGGTTCCCAGCTATCACTTACTAATGAGTGACCTTGGGTATTCTGCAAATTTTATATAATATGGTATAATTACATTATCAGAGTAAGTGTATTGCCGGCTAACATGAGACAGTAAATATATCAGAAAAGTTCCATAGGGTTGTTTAATCTCACTACATTATATATATTATATGTATATATATACATATCACATGTATTATTTTATTTCATATTAGATCGATGCTATGTTCTTCTCCAATGCAACTCAAAGTGCAAAGCCATTCTGTAAGAATCAAAGGCTTCGGGGCGCCTAGGTGGCTCAGTCGTTAAGCGTCTGCCTTTGGCTCAGGTCATGATCCCAGGGTCCTGGGATTGAGCCCCGCATCGGGCTCCCTGCTCAGCGGGAAGCCTGCTTCTCCCTCTCCCACTCCTCCTGCTTGTGTTCCCTCTCTCGCTATGTCTCTCTCTGTCAAATAAATAAAAAAAAAATCTTAAAAAAAAAAAAATCAAAGGCTTCTATGATCAATTAAAATGTTAAAGGGAAGGCAAATGTCAATTAAAAAAAAAAGTTCTTTCCCTGCTTTTTAGCTTCTCTCTCCCCTCCCCCAGCCTTTATTCTTCTGATTTATTCAAGAAAGAGAGTATAAAAGCATCTTATTAGCAATTCTTATGCAGGAAATATGAGCACTTAGGGTCAATTGAAAGGAAACTGGGAGAAAGGAGTCAAGAGGAAGAAGAATGTCATACAATTAGAAAATTTAGTTCAGTGGAACAGTTAAGAATGTCATGTAAATTTGTGTAAATTTATCAGATAAATTTTAAAACATTCTTCCAAGTATTTCATTTTATTACCTCAACATTTTCCCCTTTCCCTGAACCTTTATTCTGATGCTTAGAAATTGTTTTACTTCATCTAAATTATAAGTAAAGTTTTGGAGGCAGTATAGCCAAGGGTATTACTGTTTTACACGGGTTAAAACTGTTAAACAGGCTGATCCTTATTATAGAAAGCTTCCGGGGAAGGTAGGTAGTGCTGCCCTCCCAGCAGATGTTCTAAAACTGTTGATCTCCAGCCCCCCGCCCCCGCCCCCTCCTTTTTTCATAAGGAGTATTTTGGGAACATGCTAAAGGCAGTGTGTTGATGTTTTAGTGACAAAAGCTAGATTTCTGTCAGCAGCTTTCATTAAGGTTAGCTTTTAGCCTGTGCCCTCATCATGTGCCATAGATTTAGTTTTGGATTAGCAAGTGCTAATCCACATGGAAATGATCTCTATGATCCACATATGTTTAGCAATCTGATTACATTTTCAAATGTACCTTTTACCTCCTCTTGTTATCCTTAATTTTAAGAGATGTGAACAAATTAATAACATTTGTGTATTTCCTGGTCAGTTTAACTTCTAACCAGGTAGTCTATGAAAGCCTAGTTCCCCAAGGCAAGCTCAGAGAATCTAGAAATCTCCTACCTCGCCTCAACTCTTAGGACAGGGCCCTTTGTGTGCACAGTTCTCACGAATTAAAGAACTCGACTAACTTGAGAAAGATAATAAAACGTCTCCCCAAAAGGTAATTGTTCATTTCAGGGCACTTTTTGGAGATGTTTTTAAGCCAGTGCTGCAGCTGATGGGGGGCAGGGAAGGTAAGAGCCGTCCCCAAATGTGGGGCTTGGCACCCGGAGATGCCTCCAGGCAGGCTGACAGATCCCCGAAGTGGGAATAGTCCGTTTTCCCTCCACAGGGCCTCGGCGTGCGAGGGAAGGAGGGGGATGGGCAGGGGCCATCAGGGGAAAAGTCTCCGGCCTCTCCACGTCTCTCAACACCATCCCTCCCCCACCCCCGCCTCCTCCTTCCCCGAATCCTAAACGAGCCGGCGGGAGAGGGGCCCCGGGGGCAGCCTGGGCCGCGAGACTCGGCCTTTGTGGTTCTGTCCTCGACGGCGGCGGGCAGGCAGAGGGGGCGGGGCCGCGGGCCGGAGACCCTCAGCCGGGGCTTGACCCCCCAGGTGCATTGTCCGGCGGGGCCCGCCCCTCCCCGCGGGGCAGCGACAGGGCCGCCACGGGGCCCCCCTCCTGGCGTCTCCCTCCGCCGGCCGCACCGACCTCGCGGTCCCCAGACCAGGGGCCAGATGTAGAAAGTAGTCCCCAGGCCCGCAGCGGCGGCGCTGTCCACTCCGCCGCCCCCGCCCCCTCCAGCCTCCGCCTCACTCCGCCCCCAGGCCGGACTCTCGGGCCCCCGCCTCCTGCGAGCGGGTGTCCGTGCGCCGGCCTCGCCGCGACCGCAGAAACCGCCGCCGGCCGCGCCGAGCCACACCACGCCGGAGCCCGAGAGGGAAGCCAGGCTGCGCGCGTCCAGCAGCGGCGTGGGGAGCACCCGGAGGCGGGGGCCGGCAGGCGGACAGCGGCTACGGGGCGGCCGGGGAGCATGCCCGCGCAGCCCCGCTGAATGGCGCCTTGTCTGCGACCCCTCGCCCGGCTGCGGCCGCCAGGGATGCTGCTCCGCGCGCTCCAGCTCCTGCTGCTCCTCGGCTCAGGTCCAGGTGGGCGCGCTTTCTGCTGCGTTTCTTCTGCGCCTGTGGGGTTTGAGCCGGCGCGAGTGGGCTGGGGAAAGAGGAAACCGCGGGGGGGGGTGTTGGGGGGACGGCGAGGTCCTCCGCGGTGCGCTGACCGCCGGACCCTGCCCCCTCCCCGCAGCCAGTGTGGAGCCGCCGCTAGGCGCGGGCGGCCCGGGGGCTCTGCGGGGGCGCGGGCAGAGCTGTGGGCGCCTCTCCCGGCACACGCCCCTCCTCGCTGCGCTCCCCGAGCCGCAGGCTGCAGGGCCGTGGCGCCCGTTGTCCACTCTTACCCCTTTCTCCTCGCGCCATTGTCCGGGCTCCGACCGCGTCCTCGCCTCCGCGGCCAGCCCCAGCTCCCCGCCGCCGGCCCGGTCGCCGGCTTGCCCGCCGGGGCCGCCGCGGCGCACGTGGCTTTATTTATATTGTTTCCTTAGTGGCAGCCTGGCCACGCAGGGGGCGCCGCGGTTTCTCGCGGCTTCCCCTTTTTGCAGTGGGGGTTTCCCCCACGTTTTAGGGCAGGGGAGAGAATAGGTGAACTCAGCGGCCAGGGCAGCACCTCTAGGGCCCCCATTTTCCCAGATCCAAACCAAGAGAGGAGGAGGAGGAGGAGGAGGGAGGGAGGGGTGGAATTGGAGACAAGATGGGTTGGAAGGTGCGTGGCCGATTTGTGCTGGGTGGGGGGAGGGGAGGAAGGTACCGGGAGCTGAGAAGGCAGGTATAATCCTATAAATAGGATTCCCCCCTCCCCCGCCCAGCCAGGTATTTTGGGGCAGGGCCCGAGATGTGTACCAATGTGAAGATCACTCCATACTCCAGGTTAACCTTGTACAAACTTGGATGAACTGATTTTTCTCATTTGCGTCTGCGTTGGTTTATCCTCAAAGAGATAAAAAGTGTAAAGTGGATGTGATGATTGCAGGGGGGCGAGGAGGAGAAATGTTCAGGAGAATGGGTTATTTTATTTATTTACAGGTTACAAACCCCGGACTTGCATCTTTTCTGGAGGAGTTAGTTTTCTGTTATCATGAGAAAAGGATCAAAGTCAGATGTGACTCGGAAACACAATGGGCGCCTTCCGGAGTGGTCCTCGCAGCGCGGGGGCTGTTAGGGTCGCTCGCGTCGCCCAGGGCATATATTAGAAGTCGGCAGCCCGAGGGTGGGAGCGTGACTAGTGTGTGAAGTTTCCGAGGACCTGCCTTGATGAGAAACAGATCAGTCCCGGGAATTTGTAATCATGTATTCAGAACATCATAAGGAAGATGAAATGTCCCCAAACTTCTCTAACACTCCCCGATCAGTATGCCAGACTTTAGCTGGCCTTTGCGCAGAATGCAGGAGGTGACAGGGTATTAGGCGGTCATCGGATGCTTTCTCCTGGCAAGGACGGGGTCGATGTGTATGCTTAGGATAAAACCTTTCCTTTGCTCTGATAAAATGTATATTGTTCAATTAAGCAATCTCCTATCCCTGTTAGACAGTAAGGACCAATTAGTCACGCACTTTATTCCAGCAGTTGGTAGTTCGAAAGAGAGAGAGAGAGAAAGGAAAGAAAGAAGAAATGAAAGTTTTCTAATCCGATCACCTACTGAGTACAATCAGCAAGAGTTACCAGCGTTTCAAAGCCTACTGTTTGTCCGTTAAATACCTACCTTACTCTGCAGAAATTAAGTAAAATGGATCTCTTTCGAGGAGAGGAGACAGAGTCCTTGCTGTAAAAGGACAGATATAAAAATGCAAACTTGTAATTTGTCACAAAAGATAAATGCACTTCCCAAAGGAGTAGGTGCCAAGGGGTCCAAAACACTTCAAGGGACAAGGAAATAAACTTGCTTGTTCACAGAGTTGGAGTTTTGCTAATGATTTCTTGTAAAATTAGACTTTTACGACTTACTCTGCTCAAGATCTTTTTGACAAGCTTGTAAAAGTAGCAAACAGCTTGTGCTCATGAGTTTTCCTGATGATTTTGATACTCTAGCAAGGAGCTTGAGAACAGGATTCTTACAAGGCATAGAAGATTATGAAATCTTGCCTTTGCTTTTAGAGTAGGTGTTGTAAAAGATGATTTTTCTGATTTGTTGAAAAGGTTTGCTGAACTTAGATTGGTTTATTAAGGTGTTTATCAGTTAACAAATATGTTTGTTAAACTTTGTCATGTTACACCCTGAATATGTTTTACAATTATGTGTTAAAGAAATGATTTTATATCTGTAATTCTGCATATGCCCCCCCCCCCTTTTTTCCTTATAGGAGTGTGGTGCTTTAGCGAACTGTTTTTTATAAAAGAACCACAGGATGTAACTGTCACAAGAAAGGACCCAGTCATTTTAGATTGCCAGGCTCATGGAGAGGTTCCTATTAAGGTCACATGGTTGAAAAATGGAGCAAAAGTGTCTGAAAATAAACGGATCCAGGTTCTGTCTAATGGCTCTTTATACATCAGTGAAGCGGAAGGCAAGCGAGGAGAGCAGTCTGATGAAGGATTTTATCAGTGCTTGGCAATGAACAAATATGGAGCCATTCTTAGTCAAAAAGCGCATCTTACCTTGTCAAGTAAGTGTTTAAATTCTTCATTGTTTGACATTTTTCATTGCTACATTTTGATGATTTTGTGATTCACTATGTGCTAACCCTAAAAATCACACAAACATTAAGAATTTTCCTGGAGATAGTAGCTGATGCTAACTAAGGCATGCAGAAAAATCTGAGAAAAAAATATAAGTTTGAATAAGTGATTGAGAATGAAAGTCAAGTTAGTTTTAGAACACCTAAACCTGTAGAAGTGGCTTTCTATAAATTTACAAGTGTTTCACACTATGAAAAGAGTTGGGTGTAAAAGTTTGGCTAATACAATGAAAGCTCTAAAATCTCATCTTTCATAAATTAATAATTAAAATTTAAAAATCACAAGCAAATCTTTCTGCTTTGTAGATGACCCTTGAGTGCTAAATCTTTCTTAAAGCCCAATCTTCCATTTCTCTGAGAGCTTTAAGATCACTCATGTTGCTTTTTAATTGTAGAGAGGGCATTGGTCAGTAGCTCTCAAGCCTTTGAAGTATTCCTAGTCTTTTTCTGCTGGGAGAGAAAGAGGTTAAGGCCATTTCCATATTATGCCTAATGGATTTAAAACAGATCTACCCCCTTTATTCCAGTTGTCATAAAGTCTGCTGTCTAATGATTTCCTTTGTATTAACAGCCCTGTCAGATCAGCCATTTGTCCAAGTGACCCAGTGCTTGGTGGTTGACCTGATAACTGTTGAGTGTAAAGATGGGCCTAGGATGAATGGGGAACTCCTTGTTTCCACTGAGGCTTTCCACCTCTTTGGGGGATCAAATGTGCAACACTCAAGATGACAATAGAAAATGTAAATCTTAAAACAATGACAACTATATTTTAAAAATAGTTTTTATAAGTATTGCAGCTACATTCTTTTATTAATCTGCAAAAGATAGATTTTGTGCTTTACTGACAAATTGATCATTTACAGGATGAATAATAGGAAGAGGGAGCTCTTGAGATAAAGCATATTCTTTAGGAAATAGTTTCTTCAGGGTCTACACAGCTGAAATTTAGAAAGCTACTGGCAGGGATTTTCTAGGTGACTTTAACTATTTTAACAGTGTATGACCATATTTATGCCACCATCATATTAGTAATTTATTTTATTTGTGCAGTAATGATTAATTATAGAAAATTATCCAAGCAAAGATACTTTTATATTGAAATATATCAGAAAGGTAGAAAAGTTCCCAGTTCTAAACCACCCCCCCCAAGAATAGCAAAAACCTGAGAAAATTTCTGATAAACTTTTTTGTTTGTCATAATCACTGGCCAATATCATTTTGTTGTTGTTGACTAACGGTTTTTCTGTGCTGTTTTCAAGATAGTGTGCTCTGTTCATTTATTTTTTTGTGTAACATAAAGTTGTTGTATAGAGTTGTAATTTTGTCACCTTTTCAGGGTTGTGGAAGGTGTTTCATACCCAGGAACTGTAGCTTGTAGTTCTTTGCTGGAGAGGAGAGGAGCAGGACAGAAAGGTGGAGGAGGGCGGATGGGCCTTGAAAGGATGAAGCATTTATCATGACCACACATTATTTCCAGGACCTCCTTAGTAGCCTGACAAAATTCTAAGGCACTCAGAAATGCCTTGAAAACACACAGAGCTTTAAAGTCTGTATAGGATAATAAGTGTAATTAACAGTGAAACAAATGTTAGTATTGGTTTTTTAAAATATCTTTAGATTTTTTAACTGTGTAAAAATTATGGATAATAAATATTAGATGTGAATAGTTTTGAAAGCTGTTGTGAGGTAGTTTTCATATAATGAGTATCAAAAACTTTCTAGTGAAACTGTGTAGAACATTGCTGTTAAATGTCAACTGTACTCAGTTATAGGGACCACACTTTTCATAAGCACATGTTTTATTTAACTCTGTGGAGATATTTTCCTAGGAAATTACATTCAGTATTATAGATCTAAAATGAATGCATAGTGGTTTTAAATTTTTCTTTAGAAATATGAGACTTCTTAGAGGTTCTGAATTCACAAAGTTAGTTTGGATGTTTAAAGAGCAATGTCCAGTGATATAGGCTCAGATGACTTTATCTTATGTACAGAGTAAAGATGTTATACATATTAAACAGGAAGAGAATAGGCATTAAGTGGACATTCTGTTTTGCTTAAAAAAAAAAAAAGCTTGGTCTCTACTACTTATTGATAGCAGCAGGGTGCAACTATGTTCTTTTTATTTTCTGATCAAAGATTTGTCAGCAAGCATATCTTTTGGTTCAGAAGTGTAAGAGTACAGCATCTGAAAATCTAAAACTTTAATCTGTGCAAGTTTTAGATTTTTAACACATATAGGCAATCAAGTCTTGGTTTCTAAACTTAGGAACTAGAAGCTGAAAGTTGCACTCTAGGCAAGAATTCCATTATTCATGTGTAAATTAGGAATTCACAGGGTTAAAAGGTTAGAAACTGGCCAGGATGAGGTTTACCCTTGTGATAAAGAGCAGATGACCCTCATTCATTGGCCAAAGCTTTCATGTAGCTCTTCCTGCAAAGTTAGTTATTGCCATGAATTGTTCTTGAGGAATGCAGAAATTCAAATGTGAACAGGCTTTTCCTTAAGTGTCACTATGGAGTCTTATCTCCCAAGCACATCAGAGCTGGCTGCAGGGACAGGGTTCCTCCCCAAAGGCCTGGAGGCTTTGCTTTCCTGTTGTTCACCCGAGCACAAAAGAATTTGTCTAACTTAGTTTTTCTAAGGCATCCCATTTTTAAAGGAAAGTACAGGGTTAAATTAATATTTAGGTTTTTTTTTAAAAAGGTAATCCTTTTTGTTGATAAGCATTTTAGCCGTTTTACATTTTCATGGAGTTAGAATAGAAAGGAGAGTATGTGGGAGGCCCTTTTTCTAGTTGTATACAATAGTAAGAACAGAAGATTAAGCCGTTTCCTATAAATTGCAATATTTTTAGCTTTTGGCAAATTGAATTTTCACTTTCAATGGCACTAAGTCTTCACTATGTAAATAATTTAATTTAAATATTTTAGGAATAAGAAATAATCCATGGACATTTTGATGTTTCTTGCGTTCTTAACATTAAAGTAAGATAAATTTCATAGGAACGCATTAGTGTGGTAAAATGGTCTCATATTTCAACAAGTTTAAATTAAGATAAGAGACGTTTGAGAGAAGTAAAGGAGGAGGCGGGTTGTGTTCTGTGATGTGTAAAAGACTGGCTGTAAGCGAGTGATTGAACAGGAAGCTAGTTGTTTATTTCCTTTCCATAAAAGGTGGAAATTGAAGTCTTAGGATACAGGGAAAGAGAACATAAAGCCAGCTTATATTTCTAGGTATTTTGGGACTGTTCACTTGGGTGAAAAATCATTTTTTAAGCGAGCATTTGTTAGCCGGAAGACCATAGTATTGTAACTTTATGATGTTCCCCCCTCCCCCCCGCCAAAATTTTGAAGTTAGTTTTTGCATGTGTAAAGTTGGGGGGGAACGGGGGAGGTGGTCTGTATCTATAACTTTACATAGCAATAGTAATTCCCTTTAAAAGGATGTAGTTTAAATGGAGATGAACTTGAGGGCTTTTGTTGTTGTAGTTAGATTAATGAAAAACTGTTCTATGAGTGTGGTTTCTATTTTAAGGAGTAATACATAAATTATAGCCCAAAATGAGTTAAAATATATTGAGAACATTTAATGACTCATGTTAAAAAAAAAAAAAAAGGTGGGTGGTTGAAAAGAGAAAGAACTATGAGACTATTAGCCTAAATTTAGAATTTTATTAGTGATCTAGGACCCAAGATGGGCAAGATTTTGCTACAGTGTCACTTTTTATTGAGATTTGTAGATGCTGTAAAGGGGAACACCTCTTACATGTGTGCATATTCACTTCAGGCTGTTAACAGTTACCTGTCCTAATTCAACAGTTGTAACACAAAAGTAAAAGTCATTTGATTTCAGAAAAATAACGAAAGAACTGAGGTATTTAGAGAGACCCATCTGCCAACACTGTAGATAAGGTTCAGATGATGCTTTCTGGGATCCAAGAAAAATCATCTTTAAAGAGAAGGGGTTATGGTTCAAGAGTACATGTTTAACTTAAAAATTGACCATCTTAAAATTGCTTAAGTCAGGGAAGTAAAAGCACATAGAGTTCTACAGGCTTATATACAATGACACTTGGTTCTTTAAGTCTGTCTACTTAAAAGGTTTATCAGGTACCTGATAATCTCTGGGTAATGGAACCAGTTTTTCCCACGTTGCACTTGATTAGTGAGGATCATTTCTCATCTTCAGAAACCTGTAACACTATCTCACTGTTTTTCAAAGTTGTTGGATTTTTAATTTTATAACCAAGCAGGATCCACTGAGGGGTAGAATTATAATTTGCTTTAAGATGTATATAAATGTGTTTATTTCTGTTCAGCTTCTTAATGGAATTTTGAAAGGGCATTTGGTATGGCCCTCTTCTATCAACTATCTCTGATTATTCTAAAGAAAGGGTCTCACTCTCAGCACTTGTTTGCCAAGGGATTTGTTGTCACTGCTCCTGAGTTTAACAGCTGGGCCTATTGATGGAGTCCAGAGTAATCTAAAAGACTAGCAAAAAAACCAAAATACAAAAACTCCCTCAAGTCCCCCCCAAAACAAATCTTTTAAGCAGGACTTTAAGTTGAAGCACTATTTCAATAAATAAATAAATAAATAAATACATTTGAGGTTACTTTTTTGAGACCCCTAATAGCCCTGACTACAATTTTGAGAGAGAATTTTTATTTCTCATAGGCAGATTCGCTCAGTTAGGATGGATTACTTTCAGCTTTTAAATTGGCAATGACTATGTGAAAAATAATAATGTTAGGCATTTTGTTGAGGATCATACTTGAATTTTTGTTAAAGTTTTATTTATTTATTTGACAGAGACAGTGAGAGAGGGAACACAAGCAGGGGAAGTGGGAGAGGGAGAAGCAGGCTCCCTGCTAAGCAGGGAGCCTGAAGTGGGAGCTCGGGGCTCGATCCCAGGACCTTGGGA